AGTGCTATTTCTTGGTGAGACCAACTAACCTGTATATAAGCAAAATATATCCGAATTTGGATACGCATAACTGACTAAGAACCTCGGAGCATTGCTCACAAGAATATCGACCAGGAGGCTTTAAGTTATTGGTGGTATAATATGTATTTTATATATTTTCCGGCTTAATAAATAATCATGATAATAGACTGGGAAGAAAGTGCTACATAGAATTATCAATACTTTAAACTGACTTCGCATTATTTTTATGCCACCTTACTATAGATAATAAAAAAGTGGATTTTTATATACCTATTAAGCTTTACGATAACTACTCATTGTGTATAAACATATGGCAAACATTTCCGGAAACCAAATTCTGTGTTTTAGTTTTTGTAATCAAGCATCTCTTACCTTCTCCGGAATATAACGTTCGGGTATGACAATCTTATTTGGCGCTAATAACAAGTTATCTATTGTGTTCTCCGAGATCTTCTCGCCATGTCCCAAAGCGGAGCGCACAACATCTGGTGCATTCATGCGCGGACGCAATGCCAAGTCCATGTCCAGATCGTCACGGGCGCGCCAATTGGTGTTCTAAAATTAAATAATTTAGTAAGAGAACCACATAAAATACTCATTTTACACTTACATTGCGATTCATATCGTTCTCCGCCTGCACATTCTCCATTGCCTTCACATTGACATTGTTGGGCGCCGTGTAGTGGCGACGCTTCTCGCGTGGCACCGCACGTCGATGCTTATGCTGTGACGGCACTTTCTCAACAATCTTCTCAGTATTGTCCTCGGACGCTGAACCGGCCGAAAGCTCGTTTATGATTTGACGCGCCGCTTCACTCTGAAATACCGGATCTGGACTGAGATCGGTAATGCTTTTATTCAAGCTCTGCACAGAGTCGGTCTTTTGACGCAAAGCCAGCTGTGAGGATTCACGCGTATGACCATGATGATGCTGATGTTGCTGCTGTTGTTGCAGTTGCTTGGCAAAGTACGCATTGGCAAGTGGATTAAGGTGCTCACGTCGCTCAGCGTGGCTACCGTTAGCAACATTACCACCATTAGGGCCATTAGCGCCATTACACATTTGGTAGCCGGCATAATTGCTATTCTTGTCATAGCTGCGGCCATAGTAATCTTCTTGCTTACTGCTGCTATGGTGACCATTATGCTTGCTGCTGTGTTTGCTGCCGTGGTGGTGATGATGTCTCACTTTGCCGCTCGTGGGCGGTTCGTTGTAACTACGCGGTAGCGATTTCGAACGTCCATTGCTCTGGTACTCGTTTGCCGTGCCGTTCATATGCTGATAACCATTGATAACGAGCCCATTACTGCTAATCAGCTGTTGCTCTTCCTCTAGCACCTGATCCAGATTCTGTGTGGAGCTACTTAGTCCGTTACGTTCGCTGCGATCGCGATGTCTACGCTCCGACTCGCGCTTCACAATGCGCACCGTTTTGATCTCCTGTTTCTCTTGGTTAGTTAGATTGGCAAATGGATTGGAGTCTAGAAAACCATCACTGTCCACGCCGCTCGTCTCCAAATTATCGCTGGCGTCATTGTAACGATATGAGCCAGCGTTAACACTAGCGCCAGCCATCAAACGTTGCAGCTCATCGCCATTATTGAAGTCACTGAGCTTCGTATCCACGTAAAGCGGCGTTGAGAGATTGAGTGTGGAGTCATCGTTCAATGTGTGCGAAATGCTATGCAGCGAATCCAAATCCGTTTCCTGCCACGAAGTGGAGTTTGTACGTTTCTTCTGTGGTATGTCTAACGGCAAACCGTTTGCGATGTTCTCTTTATTGCCAATCTCCTGATATAGTCTATTGGAGTTCTCTGTTAATTGACGTACAGCCGAGCTCAACTCCTGTCGCTGTCGTTGCATATCGCCTACGAGTGTTTGTACACGCTTCAGCTCGGACTCCAACATGGCGGTCGTGTTGCTAGCAAAACTGTCTGTGCCACCGACTCCATTTGTGAGAGCTCCTTGTGAACCGCGTGCGCCACGCGAAGCCTGCAATTTCTGTCGCAACACGATCAGCTCTTGTTCGAGACGCGCATTGCCTGCTACGGTCTGTTCTAATTTCTATTTGCATAAAAGTTCATAAAGAAATAAGTGGTGTGATGTTAGTAAGAATAGAGATTTTTGAAGATTGTTTGACATGCTGTTACTACATATAAAGCACGAAAGCCAGAGCATGTATGATTTGTTTAGTGAATTGGCGCTTTAGATGTTAAGCCGTCTGCTTTTTTGTTTTCGCTTCAAACTTTAAATTGAGATTTTTAAAATTTAGTTCCATAAGCTCGAACTTTTAGTTAGTTACTTTAGGGTTTTCTCTAATTCTAAAAAAGTAGTTCGTTGACAAACTTCTCAGTTTATTCCCAGAAAATCTAATCAAGCTTGTCAAATACCAGCAGTTGCGCGACGGCAAGATCCTTCTGGCCCACGGTAAATAGTAAGAGGCATAGTGCTCGCTCGGGATTCATGCGATAAGATTGAAAATTTGACCGGGTGCCAGCTTCATAAGCTGCTTGGATTAGGCTGAGAAAGAATTAACTTAAAACTGTCTTCGCGAATGTCACGTCTTTATTAGACCAATTATAAAAGACCACAGATCTCATATCTTTAGACATCCAGGTGAAATTGGGGAAACACGAATAAAGTACCAAAGCAGATTGGTAAAAGGTTCAACACGCTTTGTCGAGAATTTGTATGCAAATACGGGAAATTTTATCTGACTTTACAAAGCAATGTACTTAGCAAAGGTGTGATTCCCCCGACATATTGGTAGGTCAGCCACCTAATGTAACCTGCTGTTTAAAGAAAAATTATATAAATACACGTAAAAGTGGCAGTAATCATGCAAAAAAAATAAGCATTACCTACGAATATAAAACTAAATTATGCCTGACCTTATTAAGGACTGTCAATATGAAGCAATCAAGCGGGTTAGTAATCATCTATATATAGTATATGTATGTATGATTGTTGGGTATCACATTTCGGATTAGATTAGTCACATTGTTTTTAGAAAGCAATAGCAAGTCAATACGCGAAGCTGACTAGATTTGCCTATTGGCTCAGCAAATCATTATCAATATCACACAAACAAAAACAACAGACGACAAAACTTCTATACTAGGCACCTCGACTACCTTTGAGTTCTCGGCCAACAGTTGATGTACACGCGACAGCTCACGCTCGAGCATGTGTTGTTGCTTTTTGGCCGCTTCGAGCGCCATTGGCGGACCTGAAGTGTCCTGTATGCGTGCGCGTAAGCCGCCTAGAGCGCGTTCCAGCTCCTCTTTGTCGCGCTGTAAGTTTTGCAGTGTGCCAGATTCCTCTTGCAACAGCTGATCGAGTTGATAGAGTTGATGGACCTTTGACTAGAAGTGTGAGTGACAGAGAGAAAGTTGATTCAGAGAGTTGTTGTAATTATAGAGAGAAATTGATTGTGAGAAATTGTGAAGTGAAAAAATATTGAGTACAAAGTCGAAAGAGGAACAGAGAGAGAGAAAGAGAGAGATAAAATTGTAAAGATAACAAATAGAGTGTGCGAAGTGGAGAAATTTGTTTTTTATATGAAGTTAATAAGTTAATTTTATTACAAATTCCATATTCTGCATTCTATAAAACTGCCACACACTCACCTGCAGCTCGCTGTGATTCGGACTTAGCCGATCCCACTGTTTTTGCTCCTCCTGCAAGAGACGCCGTTCCTGCATGCGCTGATTAAATTCGAGACGATCCAGTGTCACAGCCTCGTTGCGTTGTGGTTGACGACCATTGATGTCATTGTTGCGATAAAGTGAGCCCAACTTCACCATATTGTCGACCAAGTTGACCAACGGCTTACTCTTCTCATACTGGCGCTCCAGATCGAGCAGATGCTGCTTCAGGTAATCCAAACGCTGTATACTTTCGGCGCGTGTGAGACCCTCAGCAGTGCGTAGATGATTCTAACGGGGGCGGGGAAGGCAAAATTTAATTAGTTTGATAGTAAAAAATATTAAATAAAATGCAAAGGTGTAAGTGAGTGTTAGAAGAAATTATAATAAAAATGGTTAAATGGCCGACACCCTGTATTGAAGCATGCAAACTTTATTTACTGCTAGGGCGTTGTTAACAACCTGCACTTCATGAATATCGCTGCAACATTGCTCGATGGCGCGCGCTGTATTGCTATTCTGCCGTCTCAACTGTATCAGCAGCAGCACCAGCTCCTCGTGTGTGCGGCTCAGCAAATCGCCGGCGGAGACGTCCAAATTCTAAGGGTCAGGCGGTGAGAGGTGAGCAAATTACGCAAGCAGGCAGGAAAGCGGTGAAGCGGGAGCGATTTTTTTTTTAAATTTCAATTATTTCAATAACAAAATAATGCGGCACATAAAAATAAACGAAAATAAAATTACGAAAAATGAAATCTTTGCACATTAATAAAGAACTAAATGGTAAAGAAGAAGCAACGCAAAAACTTAATAACACAAGAAGTCAAACAATATTAATGAAATCAAAGGTAAAGGAGTGGCACAGCGAGAGCGGCAAATCAATAAATTGCTTGTGTTCAATTTAAATTGAATTTCGCGCAATGGCGCGCACACACACATACACGCGCGCTCGCACTTACACAAGCGGCTGGCTTACTTACAACCAATATTTCACATTTTATATTGAAATAATTGTTGTTGTTGCTTGTATTTTACTTTGACTTGGTCGCGGCCGCAGCAAATCGCTGCCGCGCGCGTTTATCAACGCAAGCCAATATTTGTAGGTATGTATGTGTGAATGAATTTTCGGCGCTTGGCGCTGCCACTTACAGTGCGCACACGCACACGGAGACACTATATTTCATTCACTATATTGTCAGACACACACGCCCAAAGATACATTTATATACTATACATATGTATGTGTATATGCCACCCCAACTACTCACCCGCATCTGTGTGCTGGTCTCACGTTCCAGCATATCGATTTCGGCACGACTATCCACGCGCCTCATGGGATACACCGCTTGTTGTTGTGTATGCTGCTCTTGCCACAATGTGGGGCCCGCGGCGCCTCCTACGCCGCCATAATAGTCGCCACCATTTGCGCAGGGATGCAGTGGCGTCGACGAGGCCAAGATGCTATTGCCACCTGCTATGAGCCCATTGCTGCCATAAACGCCACCAGCACCACCAGCACTACCACCAAGGCCAACAATGCCGCTGCGATGATCCGTGAGTGTTGTTGTCTTCGCGTACTGCGTGTCGTGCGCCGTGCCGTAGTAGGAGTGCGTTAGCTTACCCAGCGTTTGATCGTAAGTGCCCTGCGCTAAGTGTTGTTGTTGTAGTTGCTGTTGCTGCTGCTGCTGTAGAGGATTGTGTGCATCCGAGGGATCTGGTTTAACGGTAAGATTGCCTTTGGGTAAATTGCGTACATTCCGCACCGAAATTGACGCTGCTGATGGTGGCACGTAGCGTTGTTGCAACAGTTGCAGTTGTGGCAATGTGTCCACATATACAAACATACACAGAGTTGTGTATATATGCAGGTATATGAGTGTGTTTGTATGTGTGTGTGGAAGAAAAGAGCAAAGAGAAAAAAGACAAAATGACAAATTGCAAGTGCCAAAGTTTTAATTCTCAAACCAATATAGAAGCAGTAAAGAGAGCTGGAAAGCTGCAGAGCTGTCTAAAGGGATAGTGAGGCATAGTGTAAGGAAAAGCGCAATGTAGTTGCAGTAAAGTGATAGAGAGAGGGAGTTGGGAGTTAGGAGTTAATGCAAAGAAATGCCTGAGAGACGCTGAACCATTAATAACTTTTTGAAGGTTTGCTAGTGGTGAGATGAGCTGGTTTATTTATTTAAGCTGGGAGTAAGTAGCATTACAATGATAACGACTGGCTGTTGTGCCATAAAAATTACTAACTATATTTGGTTATAAAGACAAAATCATTCCTTATGAATATTACTTTTTGTAATTATTATTTTTTTTTTTTGAAAGTATGCTGCGAGTCAGAATTTATTAATATCGATGTTATTTAATTTAGAGTTATTTCAACACTAAAAAGCTTAAGGCGTATTCTAGTCTAGAAATAAAAATAAATAGATTTTTTTCATGTTTTCAAAGTATAACTTTTAAAAAAGTTTTCAAAATTAAATTATTTTCGGAGGTATAGGTATTTTGCTGAACCGACATTCAAACTGGTTCTGATTTTTCTCGAAACTGTCTTTTTCAAAACGATACCCACGATTTTTCAGGAATTATATATTGGACGTATTTACCTGACTTTTTAGGGTGTCTTTTTTATAAATCTATCTATGTTTGGAACTATCCACATTCTCAAATTTACATATTAACGTTTTTTTTTAAATTCGAAACTGTCAAAAAAGTGGTACAAAAATTGTGTTTGTCTCAGACAGTCGCCATTTCTGTAATCAAGTTTTTTCCAACTTTATCGTAGCATCAGACATTGCGACATTATTCTAGATTAATAATTTTTTTGTGTTTTCTTTTCTGATTGCTAGGAGGGTTGAATCGAGGTTGAATCTTCATCAGCTGCTGATTTTTGAAATTTTTACTTTTTTTTTTTTGTTTTTTTTTTGGGTATTAAATAACTAATAGAAAACTGTATATTAAAAATATGAATTGCCTTGTTTTTTACGACACTTCAAAAATTACCTGAAATTCATGCCTCTAGACCAGAGTACCCCCTTACTGTATTAAGCGATACATTTAAGAGAGAGCGCTCGCAAATTTTATTCAACAGATTGAAGCAAATGAGAGTTCTAGTAAGCGTAAGATGTTAAATGACTTTACATTGCGTTAAGCTATTAGGCACTACCAAACTCAAAAGATCTGTTAACAGAAATGATGATAAAGAGAACTGCCAATGCTCTGTAATATTGCAAGTATAATTTATAAACACTGAAATTTTCTAAATATTTTGAAAAAAAGTGTTGCGTTTTAAAATTTTTTCGATTCGAAAACTTTTTGATATTTTTTTTTTTAATTTTTGTATGTCAATCACTAAATATGTCGAATATAAATTAAAAATATTTATGCTATGCTGTCGTTAAAAAGTTTATTACAATTTTTATGTGCGAAAATAAAAACAATATAATATAATATTTTTAAATACCCCCTAAAGTAGTTATGAGAAAATATTAGGAATTCTGGCCATGTTTTTTTTAATTATTTCTGTGGATGTTTTAGAAAATATATTAAAAATTTACATTCTTATAAATATAAAAACGGTAAAAATTATATAAATAATTTCAAAAGCGAACAGTGTTAAGAATTTTTTATACAAAATTTACACTTTTTACATAACAACATTAGACTATTCATACTAATAATTATAAATTTTTGCAGCCAGACAACTTAATTATGCACACTTCCGTTAGGCGGCAGTCTGAAGAGCACTTGCAAGTGTTAATTTGTGGTAGTAAATAAAATATATGCATGTGAGAGAGCTGCTGTGTTAATTAGCTATTGAGCGAAACTAAAACGTTTTTAAAAATATATGTAAGAGTAAATATTAATTGCGGAAATTTAAAACAGCAGAAAGCTTTTGAAAATATCAATTTACAATTAATTTTAAAGAAAGAGCAGTAAGTAGACATATTTGTAGTATTGTAAGAAAAAATATAGTTGCTTACCATTTTATTTGCATTGCATTTTTTTAACTAGTTTTATATGTTTAACAATATTTGATTACCATTAGAGAGTCAAATTGTTTATAACAACAACAACAGTCAACAAAGCCATAACAATCAACGCCAATTGATAGACAACAAATATGCGCGTCGCTATGAGTGTGTGTGCGTGTTGCTGTCTCGCGTTATTTGCTTGCATGTGTGTATGTCTGAATAGTTGCGCAGTTCTGTCTAACTGTCTAGTCGCTGTATATTTACATAGGTATATATTTATAAACTTTGTATTTACATATTTATTGTTGTATGGTTGGCATTTCGTTGCGCGTGTGCATGGGTGTGTGCGTGTGTGCAAACTTTCGTGCAAATTCAATCAATTTATACTCATATATACACATACGTATACATTGACTACATAAAGGCATGCATTAAAGCACATGTATATTACGCGACGCCTTTGTGTATGCCTCGATTGCGCTTACACATATTGTTTGTATGTGGGTTTGCGCGCGCTTTTGTATGTTTGTTTATTTTCTAATTTGTATGCGGCGCGCTGGGAAATCAACAGAGTTTAATGTTGCGCGCGGTGTTTAAAATCGATGGAAATCGGTGTCGCTAAGGTTTTCCCAACAAAGCTGATACAATGGTCGGCTTTGTATTTGTATATTTATTTATAACTGTTTTTGCTGTTGTATTTTCTACCTTTCTTTTGGTTGCATGCACATTGTGTGGCATTTGAATAGACAACTGTCACTAACAACAACAATTAACGGCATTTTTATAAAAAGTTTCATCATTTATATGTGGTCTCCTGCGACCAGTCAGCGCGCGGCAACTGTTGCGCCGAACCAACACAGCTATTTTGGCTTATTGTTAATATTTATTTTATTTTATTTAGCTTACACCTAGTTGCATTTATTCTATACTATATTATTTCGTAGATTTGTACATTTATCGGCGCCTTATTCCACATCGGTTGTACAGGGCGTATGCGCAACATTGTCATTGTCATCACAGCTGACATTCAGTTGTTCCATTATAGCGCGCACTGTACTCCCCACACTTGTGAGACTCTCACTGCCGCAGGGGTTATCATTTTCCGAGTTGCTATTGCTTCCCGAATGCTTCATTAGGCCGCTGGACATGGAGTCCCATTGGCGTATCGTCTCGCGATCGATCTCCACCGATTTGCGCGACAAGTTTGAGCCGCTGTCTGTGCGTAACACCTCATACACATCCGAGTTGTGCCCATCGTCTGTCATATGTTCCTGCAGTTGCACGTACACATCATTCTCGTTGAGGCGATCCTCGTCGGGTGCGCGCGTATGCCGCACGTGGTGTTGTGTAAGCGGTTCACTAAAGCGCGGCTTGTATGCGGCGCGCACTTGCTGTGATACATTGTCGTTGACGTAGGTAACGTCTCGTGTGATTTTCGTTTTGTATGCGGCGCGTTCGCCACCATGTAGTTCCCGTCTCATGAGCGCCGTCGGACTGGGCGCTATGCGATCGAGATCGTCTAGTGAACGCGCATGACGTTGCGAGACGCGGCGCAAGCTTTCGCGCCACAGCGTGTCTTCTTCCCACAGCAGCTCACCGGTAATGGGTGCGCCTAGAACGGAGAATTTCTGTGCATTATTTGTGTTCGTGCCAGCGACGGCGTGTGCCGTTTTAGTATTAGTGTTAGTGGACGTTCGGCCTCCGAGTGGAGACGCTGCTACATCACTACCTTCACCGACAACAACATGATTTAAATGACCCATTGCTCCCATACCGATGATGTTACTGTGACCCAGTTGTTGCTGTTGCATATTAGTGATTTTCGCGGAACTACCACCACTGCCGGCGCCAGCCTTAGCGCTAATGCCGATGGTATATGTCTGATAGGGTGAATGAGTTTGTGATGACGCGGAGGGGGTGTGCGTGATGGCAGTGGGGTATGCGTTGGTGCCCGTTAGTTCGGTACGTGTATGATGTAGGCTAGTCTGTTGAAAATTGCTCATTTTGGTGGTGTGCGCGTGACGTAGCTGGTAATCACTAGCTGACGCCATCGAAGAAGTAGCTGTGGCAGCGGCAGCTAGCGCTGCAGCAGTTTCGTTAGCATTGAGGATTTTGCCCGAGCGGTAGCTCAACTTTTCCACATTCGTTTTCATCTTATATAAATTTTTACTATCGATCGCCTGATCTTTGTCTGCCAACAGATCCACATTGATATTTGAAATCACACGTCCGTGGCCATCAATAGGGTTGTGTATGTGCGCTATATTCGAGCCATGCGCGTGCACATCGCGCTGGTTGTTTAAGGGCGCTGCAGGTGTAGCAATTAACTCGCGACTGCTGCTGAGTTCAGAGTAGTAATAAGGCGCAGATTTGTCAGATATATTGCTATTATTGCGACTGTGTATGGGTGTGTAGTACTTTGAGTGATCGAGCTCGCCGGAGGTGGGTGTGAGGCAACCCGCACCGGCAACACCACCATCGCGTGTATCTCCGCCCAATCGCTGTAGTGAATCTGTGGACGACACGAAGCGTATGTTGCCGTAGAAATGTTCGTCGTCCTTGTTGCGGAATGTCTCCGGTGGTTTTATGAGTTTTGTTAGTAGTTCCGTGGAGCCGACGGTAAGTGGTGTGTCCAAGAGCGTGTTTTGGTAAAGATACAAATCGTTTGATTGCAAATGGCTGAGATAAGTATCTAAGTCATGTGACAGAGTTTCCTCAAATTTCTCCCGTAAAGATTCAATCTCGCTAATAGATTCTTCGGACAGTGGACGACGGGAACGTTGTCTCTCCAATTCAGAGTCCGAGCCTTGACGATGTCGAAACTCCACCGCCGAATCGGTTTCACTACTGTCGCCAGTCGGTGGTGTTGCGTTAAGCACGAATTTCTGCGGCAAAGAACTACTCGATGGATAACGTCCGGGTGACGCCACATATGAGGGTGAGTTTTGCTTTAGTTTATTATAGAAATCAAAGTCTGACGAAGTGTTGGAACTGTTGTCGGTTTGAAAACTATAATTCGAATCGGAGAGCGTACGTTCGTGGTGCTTAAGCAGCGCAGCTGCATGCGGTTGCTTGAAATGTACCACACTGCGTTGCTTCGAAAACTGATCCGGCAACGATAAACGACTACACTTCAGTGTCGTCTCGGCCTTCTGTCTATTCAACGAAGTGTTACTTGCGTGTAACTTCGGTATTTGGTCGTATGATAGATTGATCTTCGTTACACTGCCACTGCTGCTGTCGCGTCGCTTCACGGTATCGTAATGTTCGGAAGAGAATATCTCCTCCGTTTTCAAGTCCTCCATTGGTGGCGGTGATGCTGGGATAGGCGGCGGTGAAACTATTTCACTATCAGAGCTTTCAGCACAATCTGCTAGTGGTGTGGAGGCACCTAAATAATACGAAGCCGGACGGAAAGTGTCCGATAGGCTAAAACGTGTGCGTGAGCGCATTTTCTTGAGATCGGTATGTTTTGTAGACTCATCGTCGGCATCGGAACTATCGGATACGTGTGACATTGTACTCTGCGACTGCTTAAGTATGTCGGGTAGATCTTTTCGCTTGCATTGTGAACGCTCAGCGCTGGATTTTTTCGCTTTCTTCTTCAAAGTATCAGTACCTTTTTTATTCTTCTTCAATGTGGATCTACCAGATGAGCTGTGCAACTCATCAGCCGGCAGTGGTGGTGGCAGTTGTTGGGGATTACTTGCGGCTGTAGCACTGCTCTTGGCGACTGCTGTATGGCTGCCACTTTCGCTTATGCTGCTGGCTGCACTCAACTCCATATACACAGGCTCAGCTTGTATTTGCAGGTGTTTGGCCTTGACAGCAGCGCTGGTTAGCGCTGGACCGGCGTGCGGATTTATGCACATATCCTCATAATTTGACCTAGAATCCTCATCCGGAAGATTTTTGCTCATTTCCACATAAGGGTTCTCCTCCTCAGTGGTGGAGTCATGCAGACTTATTAACGTCAAATTGCCGCTCTGCGCTAAGTCGCTCTTCTTCGGTGTCATTGGCAGATAGTGATTCTCGTCGAAAGTCAGCGCAGCCATAAGAGGTGTGCGCGGCTCATCCGCAACTACTGGCCTCAGCTCTGGTGCAGCTGTTATCGTTATGCTAGTATCCTTTGCCATACTGTCTTGCTGACTATTCGTGTGTGGTTTGTTATCTGATGGCATTGCCATTTCCTCTTCTGCGTCCGCCTCTTCGGCCAAAGCTTCGTCGAGATCATCGTCGGTATATTCCTCACCGACCGTGTCATCGTCTTCATCGGTGTCTTCTCGTGATATTTCTGCAGTGTCAACTCCCGTTTCACCCGCATTTTTGCTTATCTCATTTTTCAACTCACCGCTCAAATTATCTTCCATCACTGCCGTCTCTCTTCCAGCCTGCAACACTGCTGACCGCTCGACGCTTTCTTTAGCTTGCACATGCATATCATTCGTTTTTTCTTTTTCCCTCCCCGCCTTCAAGTTAGCCTCTTGTATTCTTTGATAAACTTGTAACTGCGCCAACATTGGCGTCTCCTGTTCATTTATTGTCTGCATTGACATTGTCTCTTTCGCTTGCATGAGTTCGGGCATTCGTCCTGCATTGTCGCCCGCCCCTACATGCTTAGCATTACCGGCATCATAATTATCTGTAGTGTCTGCGGTTTCCTGTCCATCATCAGCGGCAGTTTGCGGCTCTTCTAACTGCAACTCTAATTTATCCGTCGTCCCAACGGCATGCTCCCTCCCCTCTTCATTGTTCTCAATTAATTGCACATTTTCATAAGTCTTCGATGGCGATGACGTTGGCGTGAGCGTCTTTGTTGTGTAGACGGGTGTATATGTGGTGATTTGCGGTGATTTTGGCGCCGGTTTCTTGGGTAGAATAGGCACCTCCGGTGGCACCGGTGGCACCGCTGCATTGTCCTTAAGCGCCGCCATATTCAGTAGCAATTTCGCGTGTTGCGCTTGCATTCCGCTTTGGCTTTCATAAGTCGCGTTAGACATTTCTCTATCCCCACTGCTCTTCAGTATAGGCTTCAGTGTAATTGATGATTTTGTTGTTGCTAACATTGTTGTACTGTGGCTTTTGTTATTGGAATCGGTCGGCGCTGTCACTGTCGCTATTTCGCGTGCGTCCGTCTTGTCACTACCTGTCTTTTTGCCGCCCAACGGTGTGTGCGTTGGTACTGTTGTTTGTGTTGTTGTTGTTGGAGTGTGCGTTGTTGTGCTTGTATAAGTTTCGGCGAAGGCAATTGTTGACTTTGTTGCCAGATTACTTTTATTACCACCCTCAATTGCTTGGCCAACTGCCGCAGCAGCGTTTGTTGTTGTTGCTGCTGCCATTGACGCCTGGCTAATGGCACTAGAGACAGTGTCGACACTTGTCGCTAAACTAGTAATGGTAGCAAGAGTAGTAGTAGCAGTAGTAGTAGTGATAACAGAGGTGGTAGTAATGGTAGTGGTGTTTGTGGTTGTGGTGGTGGTGGACCTTCCTGCCGGCCGGCCGTTTGTGTTGTCTCCATCTGACAGGGGGTTTTTTGCGCACACAGCGTATACGATTTGTTGTGCAATTTACAGTTTTAACAGTGTTTTATTTAAATTTTTTTTTTTGGTTTGTTGTTGTGATTTTTATTTTACAAAAATTACAAATTTTCAAATCAAAGCCAAACACAATATTTTTAATTTTTTTTTTATATTTTTGTACACGCAAAACAAAATACGAACAAAAAATATGGAAAAAAGAAAAACAAAAAACGAATTCTTAATTAAACAAAGTTCAACAATGGATACTGAAAATATTTTGCAAATGGTGAATTTAGTGCGAAGTTTTTATTTTTAAATAAGTTAATTTCGGTTGTGGGTTAGATTGAAGGTGAAAAATGCTTTACTACCAATAGTGAGTACAGTTAGCCATTTTGAGTGCACCAATTAACCCAGTTTTTATTTTTTTTTTTCAAGTAAACAGAGAATGCTAAGGAAAATGGAGATGGAAAGTGGAAAACAAAATGAACAAATAAAAAAATTAAATTAAAAAGAGAGCTCAAAGACTAGCTAACCTAAAGGTGTATATAAAAGAGAAAACGCTTAAATAATTGAAAGAAGTACAGTTACAGACAGTTAACTAACCTTGCTTAAGCTCCATAAAGCCCAGGGTGAAATATTAAAATTCGAAAAGTGCCGCAAAACCATAGCAACGCTGCTATGCACGAATGGACTAATTTACATATGAACATATACTTGTAAAGCCGTAAGGCAACCACCAACCACAAAACACAAAAATCGTATATAAATAAAATAATAACCATTTTAAATAAGAAAAAAAAAATCAAAAAAAAAAATGTTAAATACTTGTTCATACATATAAAAAATAAAAAATTTGAACTTATATAAAAAAATTTTTTTTTTATATTCTAAAAAAATCAAAAAAATGTAAGAAAAACTACAGAATCACACGAGCTGCCAGCGGTGTGAAACTCAAAAGTCTAACGAGCAAAAAAAAAAATTAAATAAAATAAAAAACGAGCAGGCCCGTATAACTCGTCAGGAGACCATAGCAGCTGTGTGTGTGCTTTGAATTTGCAAAGCAAATATGTGTAAGCGAAAAACTGTTATATTAACCTAAATTTATGTGCATGCACATGTGCTTGTAATCATGCCACAAAAAAATTACAACAAAATACAAAGCTACATGCATAATTTGAGTGACAGAGCTTGTACTCATAGTAAAACAAAAAATAAATAAAAATGTAAATAAATTCTCGATGCAAATACGAAAACAAAAACAAAACAAAAATGTGTACTGTAAAAATTTAAAATAATAATAACTGTAAACAACTGTTAGCTGCAAAAAAAAAAAAAAAAAAAGAAACAAGAAAAAAGTTAACTTCGGCTGCACCGAAGCTATACACCCTTCACAGCAGCAAATGTTACTGCGACTATATATATCACTAAATCTGTATAATCCAAAGGAGAACATTTTACTAATTCTTTCAAGCCACGTTGAATTAAAGTTTATGAAGTCCTTTATCTTGAGTTTGATCGGTCAGTATTGTGCTATAGTGGTCCAATTTTTCCATATAAGGACTTGATTCTGATCAGTTAGCTATGTTATAGTGATATCGTAGGACGTGTGCAAAAATTCATATTGGTAGCTTAAAAACTGAAGGACTAGTTCGCATATATATAGTACAGACGGATATGGCTAAATCGACACAGCTCGTTACGCTGACCATTTTATATAAGTTTCTTTCAGGGGACTACTAACTTTGTGGCATACCTAATATACCTTATTCAGGCTATAAAAAAAAAATTGTATGCTTTAATGTTTAATATCCTGAACGACAGGCGCGCTGCTACACGCCACGGCGAAAAGGACTGCGAGGAAAGCAGACAGGCACATCTTTTCGGGTACAATGTAATGTAATAAGCACATATATATTTAGATACTTGCATGCCACAATAAAGCTACTCTTGTAAATGGCAGTGACTTGATTTTTGCTTCGGGCTATGCTAGTCGCTGCGCCTCTATACTATACAAACATAGCTGCCAGTTGTACGACCACATATCAGATATATGCTAGTGTATATCTGCTATATTTATATCCAACATATATAATGTTGTTCTCGTTATCGTTGTTGAAGTCCGTGCTGTTCACATTGTCTATATTCACATGGCTTTCAGTTGTTAAAATACAGGAATTCATGTTAGTCCAATGTTGGTTGTTGCAACATATGGCGCTTTGGATAAATTTATGTTTTTTATATGTGTATATAAATGTGTATAACATACAGTATAGTGTTTGCAACAGTAAAAAATCGTATTTTCTGCTACATATGTACGTTTAGCCGCATACGATTGTAAAAATTGGAGGTTAATGGTTAAATTAATATAGAATTAAAGCTTTCATATAGAAGATAATCTAAAAGAGAGCTAAACAATTTTTAAGCACTCACCAAATATTTTGTTTTCTCTGTTTAATGGAAAAGGACTACTTGCAAAAATATTAATGTGTAATATCAGCAGGAGTTTTAAAGTGAGTTTGAGGTACAAAGATTCTAACAGGTACAGCTGTCAAGTCAGCTGTCAAAGTAAACAAGCTATGCTTGACATTTATGTTTAGTATAACTCAGCCAATTGAAATTCAAAAATTTGTACTTTTATTACTTAAAATTATTAAGAAATCTTGAAAAGTTTTTTACAAAACTCGCATTCTGAGCTGCATATTTACAGATCAGATTTCAGTTCACAGTAAGTGAGGCAAACTCTGTCTTAACGGAAACGTAAATGCATCCAGGAAAGATTACTCTTGTTGTGTTTAGCATGCCAAAAACATTATTGGTTGGAGCTAACGTAATAGTCAAAGTGGATCACACCAAAGTAAGTTTGTATTCCATGTGTCACAATTATGTATACTTAGGTCCCTCAATAATTGAAACTGAATATAAAGTCAACGTTACCGTCAAAGATGTGTGCTAATGACTGCAAAGAATTTGAAATATATTTACTCATAACGCCTAGTTTGAACGCAGCGCCCCAAATGCCATTTAGCACGTAGAAAATATTGCTTTTCTTTGTCGAACTTTTGGTGACCGAAAAAAAATGAATCTGTCAGTTGGTCACCTTAGTCATGTAATCTAACCTTCTTAGACTTTTAATTAAGGCAAGCCAATTTACTGGTTGGAAACCAATATTTAACACGTTATTTTTGCCTTAGGTATAATTGAAACTTTGACCATTAAATTTTCATTTTCAAAAAGTTTGCTAAGTTTCAAACAAGCGTTCACAGCCAATATCCATTTCAGAAATTATATATTTATATATATTATATTTTATTATATATTATATATTATTATTTGTAAATATATATTATAAATTTTTTTTCCGTAGGGTCTAGGTGGAGCATATGTAGTTATTTGGCTTACTAAAATACCATCTACCAAAAATTATTATTTAACTGTTTGAGAGTGGCAGCTAAGAGCTGATAAAACGTATCGAAAGTCGGGCAAAGGTACTAGGAAGTCGCTTTCTCTAAGAGTCAGTATTTTCAATACGTGAAAAAGTTATTAAAAGTAAACTCACTCAATTTAATACTTCTTTTAGAAATGTCTCATAAAATACAAACTTTTTATAAAAACAATGAAAACTTAAGCAAAAACTTCATTAGGCTAAATTTATTACGCATCCTAATCCTTTCTGAAACGAGTTCACATTTGTAAACATATATAATAATTATTACCACAATTTTGAAAAAGACCGCATTAGTAGGAATTTAATGCTTACTTCTTGCTCTCCCACACTAAATTGCCACCCGATGAGAAGGTACAAGCGCAGTACATCAAACGGAAATGATACAAAATTTTGCTAGTCAACAACTCAACAAGAAGGATACATTAAGAGAATTTATTTTACAACCGCATCCTTATTATGTCATAGACAAGTTGGGCAAAAGTTTAGTAAAAGTATGAATACATTTACATAAATATGCATGTGTGTGAGTCAGTCGAATATACTGACAATGCTGCCACCTACGCTTTTCATATGAAAATTTTTGAGGTACTTGTATTATGCAAAAAATTTTGGTTTTTTTTTTGCAGGAAATAGTCAAATTTCACAGTCGCAAATAAATAAAAAAGGGTACAATAAAAAATACTTCTTGCTTAACTTAAAGCTAGTTTGTAAAGCTATTTATGTAGTTGTATAAATGTGCATAAAATTTTGTGAAGATGCGACAGAAAGGCATTTGGCGTCGTTTATTTTATTGTTTTGTGAATTGGTTGCTGCTTTTTTCGATTTTTAAGGCGCTTCGGTAGGAAAATTAAAAAAAAAAGAAATTTTGAAATATTTTTTAAATTGGACTTAAGAAATTTTAAGGACTATAACTTCAAATTGCAGCTATTTAATAATTTAAATAAAAAAAGCAAATATTCAAAATAGAAAAACGCTGAAACGGTGCAGAAAGAATGTTTAAAAGCCTACGAAATACACACACATTTATTTAATCGTTACTCAAAAATGGTTAACTTGCTTTTACATAAATTCTAAGCAGATAAACTAAATGTATCTTTAAGAGTTTTGTCATTAAACTTTTGCTAGTTGCCTGTTCATTACTTCAATTTCTCAACAACCACACATTTAAGTTGCTCATGCGCCGCGTTGGTTCGCAAAGCATTCATTATTATTTTGTGGCAGCTGTCTTTATATGCATGTCCATTACAATTTTCTTCGAATTGTATTTATTTATAGTCGCATCGCTGTGGGTCAATGCTAGTTATCTATTTACAGAGTCTTTTGCTAAATCTTCTCAGCGTCAAAAGAAATGTATGTGCTTTTGATAAGTTGACAAAGGCCACGCTAAATCAAGAATCACATTCATTATTAATGTTAATTGAAATAAATGATAAAAATGGCCTGAACATTTACGATATGCATATTTTAATGAATTTGTGGGGGCAGTGATTTTTTTACTCTCGGCTTAGTCAAACGTTAAGGCATTAAATAAAATATGTATGTAACAATAATATATATATAATACTAACAGAGTAAAAATAAATTTGGAAAGATCAAATTGAATAGTGTATCGGTTGAATTGAAATAAAGAAGATGAAAAATACATCCGAAAAGGGTTCGTTTTTTTTGGTTGATGAGGGTAACTTATGCATTTGAAAGGGTTTCATAAAAAGTTTTCCCCGTGTGTAATGAAAATACAAATACGACATTGTACGCAGAGAAGTTTATGCAGATTTTGCTTCAGTTGATGTATGAATATTTAGCCAAAGAGAATTTGATTATTTAGTTTGTGTAGCAACTATATGTTATAGTAGTTCGATATGGAAAATTTCGTGAGATATCGTAGCATTGTTTTGGAAAGTAATTCATGCCGAATTATGTGGAGATATCTCGTCAAAAAAAAAAAAGTTTTTCATACAAGAACTTAATTTTAATCCTTCAGTTTGTATGTCAGCTATATGTTATAATGGTCCGATATCAGCGGTTCCGACAAATGAGCAGCTTTTTAAGGAGAAATGGACGTGTGCAAAATTTTGCGTATATACATACAGACGGACGGACAAACAGACAGGCATATTTAGCCATACCTCATTTCGTCATACTCTTCATTTCTATATGTAGGTATATTTTATACGATCTCCGTTTTCCTTTTGGCTGTTAATATACCCTGTTTAGAGTATAAAAGTCTTTTGGAACCATTTGAACTAGAAGAACCAACCTCATGGAATGAATATCCATCTGCGAACCGCGCTGAATCGCAACAAAATCGATAATTTCTTGAGCAGATGGTTACTTTTGATGAATAAAGAGTCACTTGCGACGATGTCAAAACGGTCGTGGTCGAATCGCCGTGAATACTCTACAATGAGCTGCTTCCAAACGGCCAAGCTCTTAATTCGAACCTATACTGTCAACAATTGGACCGTCTGAAGGTAGCAAGATAAATTGTATTCCCTCAGCACAATACCAGGCCACACACTTCGTTAGTACATAGGCTCCGGGAGCTTTGCTAGGAGGTTCTAATGCATTCTACATATAGTCCGAACTAGGCATCAAGAGATTACTATATATTCCTATCTATGGTATATGAATTTATTGGTAAAAAATTTGCCTCAAAAGAAGCTAGTGAAAATCGACTTTTTTCAGTTGCTAATAGGGATGGGGACACTCTGTGAGAGTGACACTATGAAATTAATTTTAAAATGCAAATAAACTGTTGAACAAAATGGTGTATATTTACTATGCTAACCTTTAATTTAATGCAAAAGTTGGAACTTTTCCCACACCTTATATGTATGAGTATTCTGTGTAATATAATATATTGATCGTTACTTTTCATCTGTTTTAAAATTTAATTATAAATACTTTTTTTAAAAAAGCTATTATTTTAAAATTTATTGCTTTTTTAAACATTCTACTAACAAAATGTATACAAGTATATATCTTTTAAATATTAACTTAAATCTCCACACAACCTACGCCCGGACTTTTGTGCCAATATTTAACTCTCTGCGAACACTTCAAACTTCGGCTCCCCGACGTCAGCGTAGCGCTACGCCACAGCAATAACAGTAAATAAGTTTACTGCTTAAAAAGCTAACCTTCATTAAATATCCAACTGCCATTGCGACACACACAGGGGAAACGGTGGCTGCAGCCATAGCAACAGCTGTGAGTTACGCGGGGGCCGCGACCTAAAAATCTCATAAAAAGCACATGGAATCACATCAAAGGATTAAAGAGCGGCAATAGCAGTAAAAATGAACACGAGAAGGTCAGTCAGCCGTTGACTCTGATAGCATTGAGTGAATGATGGCGACCCACTGCGGCCATATTCACTGCGTCGAGTGCAGACGAGCAGTCACAGTGCTGTTGTATTGCCGCTGTCGAGTTGTAAAAAAATTGAATGCGTTAAAAATCACATTTTCAAGCAACGCGCGACAGAGAATTATTAAAATGAGCAAAATGGAAAGAAAGAAGAAAAAAGCCATACTTGTAGTAAGAAGGATGCTGAGGCATTGCTATGGCAGCAGAGCAAAGTTACGAGTCACGGAAAAATATGGAATTGCAACAGTAAAATGTTTTGAAAGTCAGTCAGTCAGATGAGTCTGTCGCAGAGAGAGAGGAGAGCAACTAGCGGGTAAAGAGGAGATGGCAAAGTAGAGCAATGGCACAACGTAGCATTCTAACGGTATTAAAGTGACAGCTGTGCTAGTTAAGCATTAACCGTTATACTTAGAAAACGCAATTTTACATATTATGTATGTGTGTATGTATTAATATATAATATATAAATATGTTGTGGTAATGAAGCAGTTAAACCTAGCAGCCGTCAAAGGGTTATCACAGATCTTTTGTGACAGCGAACACAGTCGTAAGAAAATAAATAAGTATAAATAATACGTAAATGCAACAGCTACAATAAGTAAATAAGTAAACAAACAACAAACAAAAGCTTACGCAAGAATTTAACGTAGCAGAGTTTTTCTTCGTCTAAAGTATTAGTAACTACAATGCAAAGAATGATATAAAAAAATAAAAAAAAGATGATTTACAAAACAGTGAAAAAGATTATAGCATAAGCAAACAAATGAAATTGAACGCAAATGAGAAAGGCAAAACGAGATATGCAAAGTAAGCAGGGATATGAAGAGGCATATAGCAGGTAAGAGTTTGTGTCATTAGAGAGACTTAAGTACATAAAACACACTTGCAAAAATAGAGCATGTATATTATATAATAGATACTTTCACATACGCACGCAAATCTCGTCAATATCAAGAATGCAAAATAAGAAAATAAAAAATTAGGCAACAACAATGATATTCGCAAGGGTTCCATTATGAAATTCACACAGCTGAAACCTTTATATTTCGATTTGCTTAATATTTCTAAAATGGTATTATGACCACACAAAAAAATGCAACTAGTCCGGCAGTAGTCAGCGATTAGTAGTAAAGAAGCGTGTGACTAATGGTATTTATTATGTGTTTATATGGAACAAACTTATAACTACACTAGTTTTAAATACCAATCACATTTACTAGCCTAATAAACACGGAATCACACTAGTTCTCTTATCAAATCAATCAACATATTTTATACAAATTAATCTGAAGTTATCCCTAAAAACTTCATGTGGGACTAGCGATTACCTACTTGTATGCTAAAGACATGTGTCATCCGAGTGTATTACCTTCGGAGATTATTCGTAGAATTTTTGCTCGGAACGTTAGCGAAGGCACATAATACTATGACAGCTTTGTCCTATAGTAGTGCCATATCTTTGGGTCCAACAAATGAGTTTCTTGGGAGAACGAGTTGGTTAGCTTATAATAAGATTTTCGAGGACAATATTAACAGGTAAATACCAGGATATGCTCTGAAGAATAAAATAAGCCTAACTTTAGATTAAGGTGAATTAAATATTTTTAAACTCGATTTTAGACAATCTACAGAAAAGAGGCATGAAAATATGCATTGTTTAAAGATAGACTTATCTATGGCTTACGTCAACGTGAAATGCTCTTGATGAGTCTGCAATATGGAGGCTCTTAAACAAGTAAGCTCTTGCTCAAGATATTGTTTGCTCTAATGATCGCAATCTCTATACTTGTCCAAAACACAATTTTTAATTATTTAATCCACAAGATAAGTAAACACATCCTTAAATATGCTTAGGGTAATCTCGAAAAATAACTCATTGGGCCTTAACTAAAGATAAAATATAGATTTTCTAATAATGAATCTACATTAATGAAAGCACAAACAATATTGTCGAAGATGTGGAAGAAAACTTTCCTCTCTATAACTTTTTCTTCCTTTAACATAAGCCCACTTTCGTGTGCGAAGATCATAATAAAAAACCCTTTCGATAAGCGCATTGTTGAGCAATAAAAAGGCGGCGACAGTTAGAAGCAAGTTAAGCCATAAAATATATGCTTGTAATAAAAATGATTCCACATACCTTCATCGTCCGACGAGTAACTATTGTAACCGGCTGGTCCGAGGTTCGCATGCGCATCCGAACGACTGCGTTGTATACCGCCTACGCCGCCGACAAGACTGCCACCAACCGCCATCGTTGTGATGCCGCCACTACCGCCGCCAACAGTGCCAGCCGCAACACTACCACCAACCGCATTGCCGCTGCTGTTGCCACCGCTCGTATTGGTGGCGGCATAATGCGCGCCGCTCGCCACCGTCGTCGAGGCGAGCAGTATGTTCGGATTGCTACCAAGCTTCGACATGGCCGACATATTGCTGCCACCTTGTTGCATGCCCTTGCGCGTCAACGGTGACTGCAACATGCGCTGCTTCCACTCCAGCAAACGTTTCATGGACTCTTCACGCTTGCGCTCGCCATCCTGTGCTGATGGCTGATGCTGATGCTGCTGATGTTGCTGTTGTGATTGTGATGATGATTGTGATTGTGACTGTGACTGTGACTGTGATGACTGCAATGACGGCGGCTGCTGCTGTTGTTGTTGTTGCTGTTGTGGCGATGAAGTGGTAGTCGCGCTGTTGTAGTCATCATCGAAACCGCCGCTGCGCTTGGGCAGGCGTGCGCTTGCCGAGCGTAGGAATTGTTCGCTCTGCTGAATAATCTGCTGCGTCGACATGGTTGGCGTATAGACAGGCTTTTGCGGCGGCGGTGGTTGCTGCTGTTTCTGTTGTGACTGTGACTGTGGCGAGAGCAGCGTCTGCGATTGCGGATGCAACGATTGTGAACGCAAATGCGCCAAGCTGCTTGTGTTCATGGCGGTCGTCGTATTGCTGCGACTCATGCGCGGCATGCTGGCGGCGCCTTGTCCATCGTGCAGTTGCTCGCCACGCTTGTAGGCGCGTTCGTAGGGATTCTCATAACCGATGGTATGCATACCGCTACCCACTGGGCTAAGGAAATCGCTGGCGGTACGATAGCCGACCGCTTGCTGTGGCTGTGCATTCGTGGCGCCTTGTGGATGCTGCAAGTAGAGTGCGCTTTTGCGCATCTTCTCCGCATAGCTTGCCTCCGAGTAGTAGAAGCTGTCCGGTGTGCGATTGATGTCTAACGAAGATTTGGGGCGTGGCGCGCGCACTGCATCTGGTTTGATGGCGCTCGACTGGTTGCTAGTGCCGGGGGCGCCTCCAGCTATTGCCGCTGATTCGGCACGCGCTTCATATTCCAAAAAATCTGCCGAATGTGGGCGCACAATCGCCGCGGGTGGACGTGAGCGTAGATTGCTGTTGCTAGCGGTTAGTTGTTGTTGTGCCGACTGTGGTAGGAAGAAAAATAAGTATTAAAATATTATAATTTTTTTTAAATTCAATAAGAATTAACTGTATTGAGTTTTTGTCTATAAAATTTTCAACCAGAAGTTTCAACAATTTTTATTTTTAGGGAGCTTTCAGAGATGTTTTGCTATAATATTTCTCAAAAGGTACTTTCCGAACGAACGACGCTTTGTTTTACTCCTCAAACATAACCTCAATGAGTATTTTTGCTATGGCAACACTCATCTTTTACGCTCTTTCTGTTAATTGATAAATTTTTTGAAAAAATGCATTGATTGTATTTCGCCTATTCTGCAGCAACCGTCTTCATCTTTTTGTATCCGTCTACTGCTGTCGTCCTTTTTAGCTTTGTTGATTATCGCACATGTCACCGAAAGCGACCTGCCACAAATTCTTAATTATGCTCGTATTTATATTTATTATTTCTTTCATTCTTTTCAATTCGTTGTCAACAATCTCGGCAACGATAGCGCAATTGTTAACAATGATGGCGGACACGTAACGGCGCAATTCGCGACGTTCGTCAGTCTGGTTGTTTTCGTCCTTTGCTGACCTATAAAACTTCGGAGTAATGCACGCAAGGTTGATGTTAACAAAGGACCACCAACCAAGCGCACATATTTCAGCGATACTGAATACTTTCGATTAAAAAGATTTCCTTTTAATAACCGATGTATGTGTGTGTATATAGTATATTGGAAATGTGTGTATTAAGTCAAAAGAAATATAGTTATTAAACATATATGGATTCGATAAATGGTCCTTACATACAGTAGAATACCAAAAAAATGTAATTGACCATTATTGTAAAGGCATTCACTCATGTACTTAATATTCACAAGGAATTAGTTTGAATGAACGAGATGTATTCTACATATTGTCTCAAACTTTTAAAGTCCAATTAAGATTTTTTTTTTAGTCATTGTTGAAAATTTTTAGACATGGAAAAGTTTTTAAAAATCAAAGCAGTTTATTTCAATAAACAAGGAAAAGTCATAGTTAGTCAAAGTATGGTCCAAACATAATATTTTAATATATATAATATTATATATACGTATGTATAAGAGTAAATATAATGAAAATGAGGTAAGCACCGCGGCCTAGGGTCGATTGTGCCATTGCTAGAATATACTAGAATAAAAATGAGGTATAAGAGTATATATGTATGTATGTACTTTGAGATCGGTGAACAATATTTTTATATAAACCGGAAAGGTGATTAAACTCGCCAAATCATGGTTAGTAACCGTATAGTTCATTACAAAGCTTTTATTAATTAAGTTTAGTTAGGTTAGGTCCTAGATTTGATCCTATAGATGGATCTAACTTGGACTCATGTGAATGTTGCCAAAATTTCATAAAATGGATCACCAAATTCTCATCGATCGGCCAAGCAGTTTGAGCTAGGATTTCCGAACATGTGTCTACCAAAATATTTCAATCAGAGTAAAAGTCGTAAGATAATTCCACCCCGCCTTGCTCCGTACAGCTTTGGAAAAAAACGTCCGACCAAATATTTAGGCACATCGCATGTGAACTTATGTATTTGACAGTGTCCAGACAGAACATATATATTCGATTTCGGCGAGATTAAGTTTAAAGAACATGTTACGGTTTGCTATGCGCCAGAGGGATCTCGCAGCCGCATAAGTTCTTGTTGTTGGCCAGCGCTCGCCGAGCTCACGGAAGGACCATAGGCCCAGTACTACAACGCAAAAGGACAAGGGAGTACCGACTCGCTTTCATTCGGGTGGTAAGGTGCCATCCTTAACAAGTTCATAAGCTTTACGGTTTCCGGCGATTTCGCTGTGACCGGGCACACAAAATATATTAATTTAGATCGGATGAATTTAACAATTTAGCGCATTGGAAACTTTGATATTTAAATACTATATTTCAGAAAATAAATTATTTAAAAATCGTTGCGTTGAGCAACCATTGTTTTAGAGCTATTGGCCATTTAGTAAGTAACTAAAGAGCATAGTCAATACTTATGATAGAATTAAATGAGGGCGACTGTCTAGTATCTGTTCCCACTATAGTCTGTTCTGTATAGCCGGATCGGACCCACCCAAGTTTTTATATCCCCAAAAACTGTAAACCAAAAAAAAAAAATAATGTAAAATTATTTGGACTTCTAATTGAGGAATTTCAATTAATCTCTCAAATTTGCACGGACGATTTATAAATGAAGGTCCATTTTTGAAAGCTGAAAGAATGAATTTTAAATCGCTTTTAATAGTTTTTTTTAAGGGCTCTAGTAGGTGTTGTGACCGAGTGAGTGGCGGCATTGTTAGCTCTTTTTGTTTCGCTTCTACCGCTTCAGATCCCACCATATACAGAGTATTAACTTAGCACCATGGATATTTGGCTTTGCCGTTGCTGTTTGGCCAGATTCCATCAGATAATTTTTTGCGTATAGTTCGTAATGTATTCATTTTTCATTATCAGTTACAGTCCGATGCAAAAGCAACTTGATTTTGTAGCATTCAAGCAGCATTTTTGTCATTGTCTTTCAGTTTCTTTTGGCTTCAATTCGTATGGTATCTGATTGCCTTGCTTTTGAAGCTATTACTCTGCTGTTAAACTTTTCGGCATGAATTATTCTATAAGGCAATAATGCAATCTCCGAAGAAATTGTTCAGAGTGGCTGACTATATCATAAAGCTGCCGTACAAGCTAAACGGATGGGAATAAAGTTCCTGTAAGGAATCTTTTGTATGTATTTGTGAAGAGTATTACAGCTTCGGTGCAGCCGAAGTAAATGCTTTTTCTGCTTTTAAATTAATATCAGCAGAAATTATTTCTAAATTTAGATGTGAAAACTCTTATAACATACGCTGTGCAATATGCTGAGTTGGTACAAAAGTCTTGCAACGCACTGGTGTAAACTTTAAAGTTTGTTGTTCGCAAATGCAAATATAATTAGTCGCATGCAATTAATTATTTATAAAAACTCTGCAACAAAATTGCACGACCAAAATTGTATGTATTTAGACTATTAAGGCCAACTTTTATTGGAAAGTAATTGCCATGAACTAAAAAGATATAGTGGCTTTCATGCACACACACACAAATACACATATAATTTTATGCTTAAGCGTGTGTGTGTGTGCAGATAAATTATAAAGCACTTAGTTGCAACGTAGTATGTAGCGCCATTGCGTGCTTGCGTTAACGTAAACTCCTTGTATCGCTTTTGATGTGGCATTAGCGGCAAGCCATTTACCTTCCAATTTGCAAAAGTTACAAAACAACAGCAAACAATACACACCGTACGCAAATCGAGGTTATATAGCATTAGGTCACGCCTACCTACCTAAAAATGCATAATGAAACGAAAGTTGTAATATTTACCACAACGTTGTGCACTAAATCATACTTTCAACTGACTGAGCATACTTAGGCGCATGACTAAGTGAGCTTACTTCTGGAAGTGTATATATATTTGCACTTTAAACGCACCAACACAGGTAGAGAGAATTATACCCAATAGTGGAAGCTTCACACTTTGTTAGAAATCAAGATTTCGTAACTAATTTTAGAAGAATGAAAAATTAAGAGCAGAACAAAAGCATTTCTAAAAGATATTTTCTGAAACTGAACATTAAAAATATTTATCAGGCATGGGCATTATAATAATTGAGCCTTGCGTAAGCATCTTTGTTGCAATATTAGTTATGTGCTGTCGGGCAAAACAGGTTTACGGGATTAGATCCATTTGTGAATTTCAAAAATCGATTTTTTGCATACACATGTATATATCGATTATACCTATATTTAAAAATTTTCACCGAAAATTTGAAGTTGATTCGGCAAATAGTTTCGGAAATGTGAGTGTATTTCAAAGTCGGTAAGTAAAATTTTACCGAAACGGTTGGACCGATCGAAATGAAATTTATACACAATATTTTTAGATATATTTCTTAGGTAATGATCGAAGAAATCGAAGGTAAATTCTTTCACAAAAACGACTTTTTTTTGGGAAGCCACTATTTTGTCAAAAATCAAAATTTTGACTAGTTCTATCATTACGTGTATTCATTCAATGCGAAAATTTTCAAAAGGAATTACCGATTGTTAATGGACCTACATTAAATTCTGTACTTTTTTATTAATTTATTAAATAAAATACCTCTTAAAAACTGCCCAAAGAAACGAGTTTATCCGGCTTGCAAGCTATAACTGCTATTATGTGCGCCGAAATGTAGGCAACGTTAACATTTTTATTATATTTTTTTAAGATACAATTGCAAGATTGTTGAAACTTAAAACAATCGTTCGGCGATTACGAATTTATCCTTTCAAAATCAGCCTAAAAGTAGGCAACGTGAATATGTTTGGCGCTTTCAACTCACTCATATAAATATTATATAATTTTTGGAATGAAACTGCGGTGTCTTTGGAGAATTAGACAAAGGATTTTTAAACGGTTTGAGCAGAATTCATATAAAAATGCGCCTAAATGTAGACAACGTTTACATTGTTAGTATATTTAACTTAATCAATTAGAGAATCTAAACGTTAGCGTAATTTTAGGGATAACTGCAATATTTAAAATAAAAATTAATTTTAAACAAAAAACACGATGGGAATAAAATAATTTGAAAATATTAATATTAAAAGTTGAGAAAATATACATACGAGTATATGGTATCTTTAACTGCCCCACCTTTCAAAGTCATAAAGTGGCCTACTCTTGCGTTAAATAAAGTGAGGAGGCACTAGGTTTTACACCACGAAATTCTCGAATATTTACAATAAATTGTTAAATTAAAAGTTAGATCTATCGTCCAAACTTTTCCGGCTCAAACTTGAAACCAATCTGTTCACTGGGTACACGCACATATGCGTATATATAATATTTGTATTTCTTTTATATTTAGATGAACAAATATAAGAAAACACCACCATTATACTGCACATTGCACGATACATAGTCGATTCGGTTGCAAGCAATGCTCGACTTTCATTTATGCAACATATAACCCAACTGCAACCAAATAAAAAGCAACCTCAACTAACTGCGGAGGGAAAGAGGTACTTAAACAAACGCTAGTACGTCGGTAAGTAGGCGAGCGCGTGCTTTTAACGTTGCAAGAACAAAAACTTTTTATTGGTAGCATGCCACACCGCGGCACGTTGCTGCTGTGCCACATTAAAGTCGGAATGCCTGCAGGATATGGGTTGGGCCACTTGTCATGCCATAGAGCGAACATATATACATACATACATACACATACAGTTAACAGCAAAGTGCGAAGAAAGACGTGGAAAAACTAGAACATCTACGAGTGGCGCGTACGTATTTTGACTGATGTGGCGTTTTTGATTGCAACTTTATAACATTCACAATATTTCACTCTCACCCATTCTTTGTTGCTTCTGTGCGCTGGCCATGCACCCAAGCACCTGTGCCATCGTAACATACATGCCATGCCTTTTGAACATTCACCGCCCGCCCATAATTGTCCATGTAGTAGCAAGTATGCCAAGAAAAGTTTTTGCCACAATGCTACGCCCTCCCTCCCAGCAGTGTTGACTAGCTTTGGCGGCTACCACAGTTTTCTGACCCGTAAATACCAAATTAGACGCATGATTAGGCTACGCCCTCAGGCGGTGCAAGCTGTCCAAATAACCAACTGACAGCACTCTTGCTGCTTGCCGCTCTTGGTTTTTGAACATACAGTTGCCGAATATACTTGTATTCTCTTTCTTTTTGCGAAAAGGTCAGCACACAACAGACTTTGGTTGCAGCTCGGATGCAGTGCGGGCAGTTGGTGCAGTGGATTAGAATGCATGGGATATCAGAGTGTGTTTGTGGGACTTTCGTTCTCGTCGCAGGAGACAGTGTGTATGTATAGGTGCACCTATGCATCTCGGATTAGCTCTATCCTTCGGTGCATTTATGTTGCACCATTAGTCGAGCAAAAGCAGCATGTGCATCCATTTGCCACATACTTACGCATACACAACCATAAAAAGCCTCTTTACATACCCCAGAAGTGGAGGCTGTTCGGATTATTGTTGCTCGGACTATGCATAACGGTCACTTTGTGGCACATTTATGTTGCTTCTTTAATCCAAATAAAGTTGAAATTAAATTTTTTGGAATTAAAAGGATGCTGACTAGTCCAACAAAACCGTAGAATGTATGAGTGTAAAATGGTTTGGAAAATGTTTTTTAGTTAACATAACCACAAAAATTTTTGTAACAGTTGATTAAAGAGGTGAACTAGGATAATCTTATAACAATACCTCGTTGGATTTGCACAATAAAGTAACTCGTACGAAGAATACTCACTTCCAACAATGTTGGAATTAGCAAGTGCTTTACTTAAGGATGAACAACAACATAGTAAAATACGTATATAAATAACACTAGTTTACAGTCATTTCACGACTGTGATGTGATGCTGTTTTATGCTCATTTTGGGTTGCTAAACCCGAAGATGAAACTATCTGCGTTCTCTGAAAAGGAATGTTTTGATAATAAATAGTGGGTCTTTCAGTATACCAATTTGTCAGAATTGAGATTCAGATATGAAAGCAAATGATTTATTTTTCTTCCACTTCAACCAAACTACAATTTTGCTATTCTTAGAGTTAAGGTTTTTGACAGTTTAATGATTGCTTGACTCAATATTTTTAGAGTACGCGTCAAAGGCGGGCAACAGCAAAGAGAAAACACGCTATATTTATAGACTTTCTTTTGTAAAACCGGAAACGGAAGCCACACTGCTTAAAATACCTATGAAGCTAAACATTGCACGAAGAACCGTTTGGTATCATTTAAATAAGGCTGGTTATAAAAAGAAGCTCGATGTATGGGTGCCACACAAGTTAGCACCAAAAACCTCTGGAGCCAAATTTTGATCTGCGAATCGCTGCTGAATCGCAACAGAACCGATCAATTTCTGTAGCGGACGGTACTGGCGATGAAGAGTGGGTCACTTATGATAACGTCTAGGGAAAACGTTCGTGGTCGAATCGCGGTGAGCCAGCGCAAAATGTTTCCAATCCACGATTGACGGTTAGGAAGGTTTTACTATGTGTTTCGTACGTTTGACAAGGAATCTTCTGTTAAAAATTGGACCCTCTAAAAGAAGTAATCAAAATGTAGAGAAAAGAATAATCTATCAGAACAACGTCGGGCCACACACAACGATAATGGCTCGGCAAAAACTTTTAGTAGTAAAAGTAAAAGTAGTAAAAGTTTTTATATATCCAACTTATAGTTCGAAACTGGCAGTACCAAGTGATTACTATCTATTTCTGTTTCTGTCTATGGCAAATGACTTTGTTGTTGAAAAATTTGCCTCAAGAGAAGCTTGTGAAAATCGACTGTGTCAATGTTTTTGCCAATAGAGACGAGGGTTTTAACGAAAGTAGCATATAAAATTACTTTTATGTTTTTAAGAACTTATGGAACAAAACGGTGCATATTTGACTTAGTGCGCTTTGAATATCATCTATGTTTGTAAAACGACGGCCCTTTAAGCTTTTCTTTATTTTTGGAAATAGCATAAAGTCACACGGAGCCATGTCTGGCAAATATGTATGCTGGGGCATCGTTGCAATATTCTTTTTGCTTTAGTTAAATGCCACAATAGCTGTTCTTGCCCCCATATATCAATACAACATTTTTCTTCATTCTGTTTGACCTTATTCGTGTATTGTGAGATATTTTAATGACGTTAAAGGCGCGGTACAATTTTAGTTGACTAATCAGGTTTTTTAAAAGTGACTCCGGAATGATCTGTGCAATTCTACCTTACAACAAAGGATAGTTTAATAATCACAAAATAATCTATTCACGTTTTAGTTATATCTAGGTAAGAATTATAATTAAGTAATATTCGAAAAATGTGTTCCCACTTACCTCCATGTGATTGGGTGTATAACGCATCGGCATAGCTGGCACATGTTTGCTGCCATCGTAACTGGGCGGGCTCAGTGGGCGCCGATAACTGGCCGCCTCCTGTAGCAGAGCCTCCTGCGCTGATGTTGGTATACCCGCTTGGGTTAGATTGTAAATATCTTCGTAATCCGAGAAAATGCGATTTTTCGAACGGCCATATGCGTCCGGTGTACGACGTTCCGCATTCGGGTAGAGCGCCAAATGTGGTGGATAACGTTGTTGTATCAGCTTCTGCATGTACAGATCGCGTTCGCCGTAAATTTCTTCACCGCCACGCTGTTGTTGTTGTTGCTGCAGACGTAACATCTGCTCCTCGAGTTCCATATAATTGGAGTGTGTGGCTGGCGGTGGCGGCGATTTGGGATAATCGTCCGCCGACAAAGCCATTTGCTGCTGCAATTGTGCTTCCAATTGGTCCACAGAGTATTGCTGCTGTGTTTGTTGTAGCCGCAGTGCGGACGAAACATTACCGGTGCGTGTATCGTAAATGGCATGATGCTGTTGCGGTTGCTGGGCACCACGTTGATGGTAGAGCTGTTGTTGCTGCATTTGTTGCAATGTCGGTGACATAAGACCGCTATGACGACCAGCTTGCTGTTGTTGTTGTTGCTGTTGATGATGTGGTTTGCGTTCGTTGTCAATCGAGTGCTCGGGACTGGGAGAAGAATAGCCGCCATCGTTGATCCGTCGAGGTTTGGGAGGCGCGTTTGCGTACAAAGGCTGCGCACCGCCACCACCGGCGCCGCCACTATTGCTGCTCGACGCCGAATTCGCATTGGCGTTCTCTGAGGCTGGAGTTACCTGATTGAGGCTCATCTTGCTCTGCTGCGACTGTAGTGTGTGTATGCCAGAGTCGGAGTTCTCGCCGCTGTGATTTAGCGAAGAGGAACCGCTTGGCTGATCGGACTCGCCGCTATTGGGCGCCTGCATTGTTGTGGCGGCTGTGAGCGCACGCACCCACTGCATCATTGACTCGCCTGTCTCGGCGGCCAACCAATAGGTGCGCATATTTTGATGTTCACACTTGAATGCGTATTTGCGGTAGATTTTATCCTCCGGTAGACAGGCAGACACTTTGTACGATGGCAATAGTATGGACCCGAGTAGCTTCTCCTCCTCGGGTCCCTTGTAGTAGTAGAGGCAATATTCGGCCAGCACGAACCAACGTTTGCGCCACACTTTCAAACCGTCCGAGCCCTGCTTGTAAAGCCAACCAGAGAGCGTTACCGGCGACGAGGGTGGACGCTTGGTGATGGGTGATTTGAGTGCCTGCATCGAACCGATACTCTTCTTGCGGTCTAACTGGGCATGCGAAGGGCTCTTGCTCGACGAATCCTCCGAGCTGGGTGTGGTCTTTTGCACCACAGCGCTTCCTTTAACCGCCGATATCTGTGTCTGACAGGCCTGATTGACTACATGTCCGGGATGGTTTTGTTGTATGTAAACGGGGCTCTGCTCGCTTCCCGGTGTCGGTTGTTCCGATTTCAGTCGCTGTTGTTGATGTGCATGCTGCTGCTGCTGCAACTGTTGCTGATGCTGCAATTGCAATTGTAGTTGATGTTGCTGCTGGTGTTGTGCGTAAATTTGCTGCTGATCCTGTGTGTGATAATGTTGCTGCTGCGTCTGCTTCTGATTGATCTTTAACGGACCAACACCTCCCGCTGGCTGATATTGATTATTCAGATTCAAAGTGGAGGGTGGCGCACGTCCATGCACCGCCGCTGCTGCATTTTGTTGTTGCTGCTGTTGTTGCTGCTGCTGCTGCTGTTGCAAGGTCATCGTCGACATGATGCTCGACGACTGACTCATATGGAAATGTCCTTGCGGCACTGGCGGATTCATTGCCTGTCGCATGGCGAATGTGCGTTGCTGCTGCTGCACTGCCTCACTCTGCGTCTGCATTTGTGCCTGCAGCTTAGCTTGCTGCAGCTGTTGGTATTGTTGTTGCAGCGCTGTGGCAGGATTATGTGCTGAGGTGGCCTGAAGGCGTCCAGCCGCTGTCAAATAGGTACGTTCCGTCGGTGACTGATACAGCTGCTCGCCGCCACTATTGTAGGATGACTGGTGAAACGGTGAGCTGTGTGAGCTGCTCGAGGTATTGCCACCAGTACCGGCCATATGCTTGAGCAGCATTTTATTTGGTTGCGGTTGCATGTCGATGGGTGTGAGTGGGCCACCGCTCGAGGAGGTGGCGGTGGGGCTTTGCTGATAGCCGCTGCCGCCAACGCTATGGTAGGCGCTCATGGCAGCCTGTTGTTGTTGTTGCTGAAAGACAGGCGAGTGTGTGGCGGCGCGATAGTCGACGAGATTCGTTTGATAGGCGAGTGGCAATTTCTTTTGCGCGTTTGCTTGCTGCAGCTGTTGCAGCTTTTTCGCATCCATGGTGGCGCCGTTGAAAAGCGGTGGGGCGTCCAACCTGCGAAAGCAAGAAACAATAACAAAAATAGGGGAATATTAGTAATGCAAGCAAGCAATATGAAATATAATAATTGCTGCTAACTGCAGGGAACTTAAAATTGTATGTGAAGGGCAGTTAATAGGGGAATTGTCGCAATGTCGCTCTTTGACGCGTTTCATTTTCATTTTAATTATGCATTCAATTATTACATTTGCATTGCGTTTCTGATTCTCGGCCGCATTACATTTGCTGCAAGCTTATGTCTGTTATTTACAAAGGGTTTCATTTAAAAAATCTTTTTTTTTTTCTTTCCTGCTTGGAGGGGACGCTGTCGCTTATATTAACTTAATTACTTTTAATTGTTGCTTTAAACTCATTCTCTCTGGCTGTGATTCTGTAGCAGAATAATTATCGTGCAATGTTAACAGCTCGTAAAATGAAGCTCCCAATTAAAAGCAAAAGTCAATACGAGCCTAACAAACCAATTTAAATTTATAAGGTATTTAGAAAAAATACGGCTTTGGTGGTGTGGTAACTGAAATAAGAAACATAAGTTTGAGATTTGATATTCTATAAATATCTGGAAAAAGCTGCGTCAATGGGGGTCCCATATTATGTTGTGGATTCTTGTGGATCATTATTCATTTTAAAATTCAATTTTTCCGAAAAAAAATTATAAACCGCTTTGATTTTTTTTCAGAAGTTGATAATGAAATCGCCGGCAAAGACATGTGGAAATGTATTACTATTGATAATCCGATTGAAATATCTAATTTCAATTATATTGTTCCGATTCAAACGAGATATTGCTCCAAAAGGTGGGTTAGCTATTTACCAAAATAATAATAATGTTACTTATATTATGACTCTGAATATTGAATAATTTATTTGTTATTAATAAAATTATTAATTGTATATTATTATTGAATCACCCTGCTCTCCAATTGATTTGTTCCGCTTGAGATATGCGAAAATACGCCTTAAAGTATGTCAACATTTATACTGTATGCGCATACTTTGTGAACGTGTTAGGTAACGACGATACATAAATGAAGTATTAAAATTAGATATCAAGTTCTCTATGACAAATACTTCAGCTTAAATTAAACTGCACCTCTATTTGGCATTATTAATTGCCAGTATGTCTATGTATGGCGTGGCAGTCGGCCAGTATAACCTTACATATAGTATACCCCAGAAATAATATATAATATTTAAATATGTCCCCACACGACTGATGGATTCTATGACAAACTTTTTTATAACTTGAAACTCAATTGGAAGTTTGAGGATCTAACGCCATTAGTATACACCTAATATACATAGTCGGAACCAAACTGGAACCCAGCACCTTTAAAGTGGACGCCCATATCTCTAACAAAACACCAGAGCTATTGCTCATCACCAAAGCACAACCTTTGGTTTTTCCTTAAGTTCTAGGGGCAGCAATCTCCTGATACCTAACTGCGTTGGTCGTCCAAGACTATTTTCAAATGTCTAGGTAGGCATTGTTCATTGGAAACTGAAAAAACTTCGTTTTATATGTTATTGTGTACCACTAGATTTTATCTTTTGCATATTCGGTTTAGTGGTAGTTAACACAGGAAATCTACTAGGCCTGAGTTTCGACCTTAGTACACCATTTAAAATGCTGATTTTCTCTTTGCTATACGTAAGAGTATTATCCATAGAAAGTTGTTAGAATTATTACTAAATTTGAAAAAAATCACACTCTTTTAGCGAAGCAGCTGAAATTTCCAACAGAGGTTGGTCAGTATGCTTTTTTTTTTTAATTTACTTAAAAATATATATTTTGTGATTCAGAGTCAAAGCAGAAAGAGTAGCAGAAGATGTGGTAAACTTAGCGTAAAACAAAAAAAATCAAACTTATGATATAAGCGCCACAACACAAATTTCAGCATAATACGGTCAACAAAATCCTAAGAATTTGCTAGAAAATGTAGTGAGAAATTTAAAAGTCCTCCAAATGCTAATATGGGAACCAAATAAAGTACGCAAGGCTAAGACAAGAGATAACCGCTAAAATTAGTGATTTTTATGATTTATCTAAATAATTAACTACATATTATTTTCTATACTGCGCTATATGCTTAGCTTAAGAATTAACTACACGAATAATTTGCTTGCTTAAAGAACAGCTTCTACGAACAATATAACACTCGTTTCATATATATTTATTTGAAGGAAAATGATAATATTAACAGTTTCTATACACGTAGAAGGCACTGTAGTTGAAAGCTATAAATTTGAGATCATGTCAGCCGAATTAAATTTTTAAATTTTAATTCAGATTTTTAAGAAAATATGAGGTTGACACGTAATTCACTAGCAGCATTTACCAAACCTGATCTGTTCTCTCACTTTCAATGAATAATATTTGTAACGGGAGCTGAAAGAAAACTTTGTCGCACGGTGTAATTAGTTTAATTTTTCAATAGCTGCACTAATGACCCTCATGCGGCCAACAAGCACGAAATTAAATTAAGTGCCCTTAGGTGCATAACTGCATATCAGCGCACACACACACGCGCGCATACACACACATATTGTTGCAAGCATGTATGTGTGAGCTCTGCATAAACATAAAACACATAAAAAATGCAATTTGCGAAAATTAATATTATTTCAGCGCTTTGTCGACGGCACTCAATTCATTTGCGAAAATATTTTAAAATAAAATTTGATATCATTCAACTCATGCAGGGCATCACTTTACTCACCAGTCCCATAATTGGTAGATGCAGCCGAACATTTTGCGTGGTTTTTATGACGGTGCTCGCGCGCAACTCTAATGAGATTACAGTGCGTTTGATGTTTTCATAAATTTTAATTCATTTAATTATCATTTTTTGTGATCTACTGCACACACACCATCACATTTCAATCGCGAAGCATTAATTATAAATATTTACAGATTTTTACTTTTCAGTGGCGTAATTCGATTTTGCGCGCATTTTACGCTGCATTTGATTGACACACACAGGCGAAAGGATTTTCAGTTTGCATAACTTTTTTGCATTTTTATTTATTTGCGTGTAATTTTTTTTACATATTTTAGTTGTTTTTATTTCTTTTTAGTTTTTTTTTTCAATTGTTGAATGAATTATTTAATTTTTTTTTAATTTTTTTATTTTTTATTGATTTTTTTTTGTTTTTTTTTTTTAATTTTTTTAAATTTTATTCCGCACTTACAGCGCAAATATGTTCGGTGATATGTTTATGCTGGCTAAGTATTTTGTTGTTGTAAATATTAATGATTTTAATTTTAAATGCTGAAGGCAAATTATATGTTGCAAATTAAGTAATAACCGTAAATGTCAAAAAAAAAATAAATATGTATATATATATATATATTTATATTAAAAAAAAAAAGTTTAAAAGCGTCACAAAACGTTTTCAATAACCACGCGCATGAGTATTTGTGTGCATTTACAATTATGTACCATATATATTGTACTTATATATTCAACTTATTATTTATATGCATATAAAGTTCTTTTATATACATAGCAATATATAACACATGCTCGTTGCGGTATATGTATGTCAAGACCACATTTCTTAAAATAAAATTGGAATAGGATATTCTTCTCCCGTTTGTTTCCCCATCTTAAGCGAACGATATATGGTATGTATATACAAATGCAATTCTGTTGTATATATTATGTACATATGTATATATAAACGTATTTACGTGTGTATGTAAACATGGTAAATAGTCTGCAAAAACATCCAACTAACGAAAAAACCAATTTCATAAAACAAACTTCAACTAGTCCGAAAATGGTTAGACTAATATCAATTTACCGGAATGTTCTTTGAAAGTGTTAAGTTAGTTTATGCCGTTGCAGCGGTATTTTTTCAATACAAATTTCGAACATAAAAAATATAAAAGTTTAATGTAAAGTTGCTTGTAAGTATTTATAAAAGAAACTAGTCCGTAATATTTCTATTTTGGACTAGTATGTGACAGATTTATTTCTGACCAAAAATTAACAACTCGTACAATGACAACACATAAAAAACATCAGTCATTTCTATACAATAGGAAAAAACTGTGTGCATATTTAGTCGCTGTTTATACTAGTTTTAAAGTAATCTATAACTAGTTTAAAGTATTATAGTGCACAACTATGTGAATTCAAGGCTCGATATTTATACTGTGCTGACGTCAACTCTGCTCTCTTCTCTTGCTGCTTTTGTTGTGCCACGAACTGACCTACATAACATCTCGATTTGTTTTTGCAAAGTTTTAATTTTGCTTTGACTAGAAAAATGCACGCATTTATGTATGAACAGTGTTTATTAGCAATCATATTTCAAATTTATAATTCAGAAATATATTAGGTTATAATGAATGAATTTCATGAATAAATTTGATCGTTTTTCGGCTTCTATTTTACATGAGAAATCAGCTAATTTGTAGTTGTAATGATAAGGTAAACATATGCACACGTATTAAAAAATATGTGAAATACCAAAAAATTAAATTTATTTAATTTAATATTCATGTGATTCTCTAAAAAATGTTGAGGAGTATGGGCAACAATGGCCCTATTGCAATCTGTAATTTCCAAAATAATATTTTTTGCTGTTGTAATTTTGTTATATATAAATACTTGTAGATAAGACCGAAATATACACATACCAAACTTTTTATTAGATCGTTCGGTTGACGAGTTAAAAAATTAGGAGAAATTATGCTGATGCTCTCACTTGGTATGGCATTTTAACATATGCACATAATTTTTGTAAGCATTTGGGGATGCAATTGTATTTTGACGGTGGAAATCCCCAAAGACATGCACTAAATAACATTGAAGGCAAAGCGCCCTCTGCACATATTTTACCTTCAACCAATGTTTATCTACAGTCGTTTTAGTATTAACAGTATTTTTCAACGAATTTTTTAACATTATTTACTTTGTGGCAGGATTGGAAAATGTGGATATAATAAAATTTTTTGTTGAAAAACCTGGTGTAGTGATTTCTTCTGG